ACCGGTTGAAAATGCACTCTAAAATGAAAGCCTAAGTGCTGCACAGACTTGTTTTCACTTGGAGACAGAAAATGAGAGATTCACTGCATCTAGCTGTATTTAACGCCATACGCTGAAATTTTAATGTACACATAATAATATAGGGAAACGACTTTCAGTTTACTGCAACCCACTGTGATAATTGCTAGACGTTAACCTTACTGTAAAGATACACTGTGCTTGTCTCCATGGCGATGTTATTGCTTTGTCTGTAATGTTCCACAGTTAGGCATTAATGGACCTATATTATGCTATTTTCTAATCTGTGTTATAATGTTGTTTCTTCATCACAAACATATCAGGACTCAGGAGTTGTGTTTTGTTTCATTCACACATGTTTAACACACAAATCCTGCATTTTTAGTCTGAATTCTTCTTTTTCTTCTTCTTCTCAAACTGAAAACACACCATACACCTTCACTAGAATCATTTGGATAATTTCAGTTCTGAAAAAAAAACTGCCAAGCTTTACTGAACTAAAAGTAAAAGGAGCTGTTAACATTAAAACTACAGCTTCATGACATGAGAAGATGGAACAGAGCATTTTTCAGGGTTCCCATGGTCATGGAAATCCTGGAAAAGTCATGGAAATTTAAAATGTCATTTTCCAAGCCCAGAAAAGTTATGGAGTTTTAGTATCTTTTGTATAAAAGAGACAGCAATAAATGCACTGACAGTATTTTGAATGTTAAAAAAAACTATAATCCCAAACCATAAGGTGAGTGGAAAGGGTTATTATTTCATATTTAGTCCTAAAAGTATGCAAAATTTTACACATTTACATGTCGTAAAGTCATGGAAAATTCACTTTAGGTCATGAAAAAGTCTTGGAAAAGTTTTGAAATTTTGTTAGTGAACAAGAGTGGGAACCCTGATTTTTAGTTTTGGAGATGTAGACAGACTAATTATAAAGAGTTACTCAAACACGTGCGAATAAAACAAAGCACAACTTCAGGTATGTTTTTCATGAACATACCTGAACACTCACAAGGGTCAGTTTTGCATAATGTACTGTAGGGGCCTGCAAACATATCTATTGTGCACGTATTCATAGTGTTGTGTGTGCGTTGTATGTTTTTATTGTTTAAAATATAAATAAACACATTGACGAACATGCATTCTTATAGTGATGGTCGCCTCTCCCCAGATCTGACCTGTAACTTGATGCTGATTGTCTCAGTCAGAGTCATAAGTTTAATGCCTTTTTGCGGAGCATTCCAGCCAAAGCAATACTATCTCTACAGTGTAATGGTACAGATCATTGGTTCTCAAGTGGGCCGTAATGCATAAAATATAGTTTGTGAAAATGTCTCTAGTTTATGGTTGTGGTGAAATGGAGGAGATGGAGAGATTGAGGAGGTTGATGGTTTACTGCTGTGGTATGGAGCACAGTTCTTGTTGATATGTCAGGATAACGCATTGTGCACTTATGGACTACCAGGCAAAAGTTTTTACACCCTCTCATTCCATTTTTTTTCTTTATTTTTCTTAAAAAACTGAGCGGCAGTAGCTCAGTTGGTAGATCTGAAGGTTGGCGGTTCAATTCCAGCTCTCGACATAAAAATAAAAAAAATCACAGATTGAGTGGTCAGATCCACTGACCCACAGGTTGGCTGGTGTGATTCCAGCTCCCACAGATGAATGCTGTCGTTGTGTCCTTGGGCAAGACACTTAACCCACCTTGCCCACAGTGTCTGTGTACACTGGTGTGTGAATGTGTGTGTGAATGGGTGAGTGGTTCCTTGTTGTAAAGCTTTTTGAGTGCCTTGAAGGTGGAAAAGTGCTATAGAAAAATGTGACCATTTACCATTTTTACCATTTACTTTCTGCATTTGGTATACGTACAGAAGACAGTCCAGTATCTTGCTTCATATATTTGATGTCTTCTGTATGTTTATCAAATGTAGAAAGTTGTAAAAATAAAGAAAAAAAGGTCTGAATGAGATGGTGTGTCCAGACTTTTGACTGGCATATTGGTTTGAAGTTGCACAGTTTTGCTTGTTGGATTTTGACCTGGTTTCATGCAAATCAGACGAGAGTCCTGCTGACACTTAAACTTATCCCTGAGGGCCACACATCTCCTCACACATTTTTCTTTAATGACTGTGACATGAGCTTTGACAAGTCAGAGAGAAAAACGCACTTTGATTCATTGAGCTTCCTCCATTCTGATAATTCCTCATGAGCTGGAGCCTGTCGCTGGATTAAAGGGCCCATATTACATATATTATTCTAAGAGCTATGTTATAGTTATATGTTGTAGTTTCCTCATCACAAACATACTTGGAGATGTTGTTTTGTTTTATTCACACATGATTAACACATAAACCCTGCAGCTGTAGACTCAGTTCTTTCCTCAAACATGCTCTGTTTCACTTAAAAACTGTGTTTTTAAACTTTACACACATTCACTAGAATGAATGAACTAGGATGATTTCAGCCCTGGAATTGCCAGTCTCTACTGAACTAAAGGTAAAAGGAGCTGTTCACTTGAAAACTACTGCTTCATGACATCACAAGGTGGAACAGAGTATTTTGAACACTGCAACTTGAGGGTGAGGGTTCATCACCAGATTCTCACTATGCTATGTTATATTATGTTAACCAATCACTGCTATTTTTATCTTCCCATAGGAAGATGGGCAATAACGTCTTTCCCCTTGATAAAACTCACCAAACATTCTCTTTGTTCCAGCTTTAAATCCTCGATCTCAGGAATCGTTGCCAACACAGAATGTATGGCTCTTTGCTGATTGGCTGGTGCCTGAACTCGCACTTCCGGGGTTTTTGCAACCTGTCAAGTGCATTCCGATTCCTGAACTAGTTGCTGGAGAGAAATGAAATTGAGCGGAGGCACAAGGTGGCGTCAGCCTGGCTACAATTCTCTGCCTTTTTAGTCCTTTTAATCATTTCCATTTCACTCCTCTGTCTTAGTGCCATCTGCTGCAAAGCGTCATATTTTGTGCGCACACTAATGCTTCAAGTTATGGCCGGTTAAGGTGCTACATTCCTTAATAGTCAAATATAGTGAATAAATGAATCATAGGTGGAATGGTTCACATGTTTTGGGAAGCTCTTTTATATTTTGCTTTTAATATCCACAGCAAGACCCACATAATTATCTTAAGTGAAAGTAACAATCACAAATGAACTTTTCACTTTTGTAAAAATACTAACATAATGTATTTTACTGGGATATAAAACAATGAGTTATATGTTTGTGCAACGTACAGCCATACAACACTCTTCTATTTCCATTTTAAGTCATTAGCACACAGAGAATGGGGCAATGCAAAAAATATTGATATCGAGTATCGGTATGAAGCATCAATGTACTGATATCCTATAATCATATTGGATGATGCTGATACTGGAATGGATATATCACCCATCCTTAATGTTTTCCATTTCAATGCATTATTATAAGTAGTCAAATACAAAGGGGTTCAGAAGTTTTCAAGCCTGCACCTCTTGCTCTGCCCTAGAACCTACTGCTGTATTCAGAAGCGATAGTAGTACTGTACTCATATTCCAATTTTTGCTGTTATCACACATATGTCACAGTAACTTGTAGAAGACATATTGTGTAAAGATTGTATGCTGTGTAGCTCGGGGCTTGGTTTTCCACATTGTTAGCAGAGCTGCAGTTTTACGAGAAGCCGGAGCAGGAGCAGGGCCTGGAGGGGACCATGAACTTTGAGGGGAATGTGTCTAATTGTTGGGATTTGCTTTGAGTGTTCAGATGAACCCACGCCAAATCCTCCTGACATTTATCTACACATTACAGTTCTACACTCTGTTAGAACAAGCTCTCTGTCATTTTTATACTTTATTTTATTTTTGCGTTTAAGTCTCATTTTCCTCTTTGTTTCAGTGGGGCTGAGAGGTTATCCTGTCTCCTCCTCTCAGTAAGGAGGTTATGGGTGGACTCCCCCTGTTACTCAGACACATCTATCCATGGGTGCTGATTTATGTTCTTTTCAAGTGGGTGCTCGTCCCTTTTTTACGTGCGTTTCTCATGCGCTCCCCTTCTGTATGGTGTGCTCTGGTGTCTTGCCTCTTAATGTCACATACTGGTGGCTATCAGATTATGTGAAGATTTCATACTTCCAGATGAGACAGTTTTTTTCTATTGATAACATTGTAATTTGCCTTGAAATATCCAAAAATAATATAATATCCTAATAATTTCCCTTGTGGATTAATAAAGTTTGTCTAAGTCTAAGTCTAAAAGGTTAATGCATAGATCTTGAACCTAATCATTGTTATTGTTGACTAAACCCATAAATTCACTGTATTTCAACTGCATTTTAACAGTATCAGTTTTACCTGCCCCTCACCTGTATTAAATATATTTCGCTTAAAGAATGCTGTGATGTCAAGTAAGTTTGGTTGTGATCCCTCGCTGCTTTGTGCACAGTCGAGGATTTAACCATAATCACACGAAGGGAGACAGTTACCCCAGGCCTCAGATCAAACCCACAGAGAAATAACAGTATAGAGAGAGATAACATTCATTACATCTATCTGTCTATCTACCGTATTTTCCTCACTATAGGCGAGTTTCATTGTTCACAAAAGCGCGCGTTGCATGCTGGGAATTATTTTGGTTGGCGGCAAGAAACACTAATTCAACATGACGGACAGAGCTAGAAAGCACGTAAAGGGTATTGATTCCGGTTATTTATCCACTCTAACGGCAGAGGACCTAAGATGATTTGACCAGAAATTGGTCATAAGCATCGACGGACGCCAAATCACCCTTTTCAACCCCTACAAAAGGTGGACCAAACTAAATTTCTGGTCTGAATCGCCAACTACCTGGACAAATATTCACTTCGGCAATATCCACAATGACTTGGTGGAAACTCCTGGGCCATTCACAGCAGAAAAGATGAAAACCTCCAAGAGTCTCGATGTGTTGTTGAACTTGTTGGAGTCCACAGTTTGCTAGGATCTTTTACGTTTGCTCTGCGAATGTTTGAAAGTCATTTAATTCACCGTTAGTGGTTCTTTTCACTCGGAATACGAAAAAGACATTTTCCTTCTTCCGTGCTTCTATTTGTGCATCCGATAATGCAGCAGGAATTTACCATTATCGGGGATAAATACGCGAGGTTACGCACTGTGTTTGACCGCTATCGTGTTTCTTCCCTCCGACCAAAATATTTCCCAGCATGCAACACGGGCTTTTAATAACATGACGTCAGCTGAAACTCGCCTATTGGGTGCTCTGGATTATAAGGTGCACTGTCATAGAATGGTCTATTTTCGAACTTTTTTCACAAATAAACCACACCGGACTTTATACGAAACACAACAGTTAGATGGGTCAGTGGAACTTTGTTTGGCGAGTTCATGGTGACTTTCGGCTTTGTTCAATTGTGGCATCTAGGGAGGGTGCTGTCTGGGACCGCTGGATTGTTGCCGTGTTCGCAGTGACTCAGTTGTTCAGTTGTGGCTAGAAGTGGCACATTGCGCTCACTTTTTCGGTTCGTTCTTCCTGCTTCATAGTTTACTGAAGTGGTGCTGGGACACCTGAGTGGATTTGTGTATAGGGCGCTCTGGACTGTAGGGCGTGCGGTCATTTTTTGATGGGGTTGGAGGCTTATGAGCGCGCCCTATGGTGCGGAAAATACGTTATCTATCGTCCATCCCTCTGTCTATCTGGTCTGTGGTAGGAGTCCATCAGTTTTGTACCAGCGTTGTAGAATAATTGACAAACAGCAGTACTGAAGCATTAGTTTTTATACTTTATTCAACTCAGCTATCAATAGGCCTACTTTTATTTTTAAATAGCAGCACCTTTGGCTACTCAAAGTTTGGATATATGGATTACGGAAGGTGCTGGAGGGAAATTCCTTTTTTAGAGTCAGATTTTGAGTTGGTGCCAAAGCCGCAGTCACCTGTCAGCAGCGTGCGGTGTGCCCCAGACAACAGAGAGTATTTACGGAAACAGATTCAGCAGATTCTAATAGGATAGTTTAGGTTTAGGCTTGGATCTATGCCACATTCACAATGTAACATCAGACAATCTTCTTCTGTCTTTGACACAGACCGTTGCACCAGAGCAGACTTGGGATCCAGGAGGGACCAGTGGATGACTTCTGGCCTTCAACATGGTCTTAACCCTCCTCTTTATAAGTAAGATCAACTCATAGACTGTATATATAAATCGTCATAGCTGACCTGCTCCCAGCGATCCAAATAGGAAGTGAGCATGGCTGCACTTCAGGCTCCGTCGACTCCAGCTCCAATTCACTTTGTACTGAAAAAACATTGCCCCTCTCTTTGAAACTGTTGATGTCAGCTCCTTATTTTTGTCTTAAAATGTTCATATTAACCCGCTCTACATGATCCTGGAGTTTTTAGTTTTTAGCCCTTAGTCCACTTCTTTATACAGAGCTGTCTAGGATAATCAGTTAACAGAATAACGGGATCTTCTGATGTGTGCTTATATGCCCAAAAGAAATCTGATCATCAAAAACACCTAATGATGTGTAAAATAAAGCATGTATAGGACAGTATAGTTATTTTATGATCTATGTTATAATGTTGTTTAATCATCACAAACAAACCTGAAGTTGTGTTTTGTTCATTCACACATGTTTAACACACAAACACTGCATATTAAGGCAGAGTTTTTCTCATAAATATCACTTTGTGACATCACAAGATGGAACAGAACATTTTGAGCTTTGGAGATGTAGACAGGCTAATAATAAAGGATTACTCAAACATGTGAATGAAACAAAGCACAACTCCAGCTCTGTTTTGATGAGGTAACAACCTTATAACATGGCTAAAACTTCACAAGAGCCGGTTTCACGCAGTATTTGAATTGATGGATTTTTAGATGTGTCTTTCATTTCTGTCTTTGTCACATTGGTTTACACTTTTTTTTTTTTGCATAAATCTTCATTTCAAAACTGGCGCAGATGTGAGCAATCAATCAAACCACCATTTTAATAATTGGACCACTCCAGAAATCAGATAATAATCCATTTGTTGAGTGCTTGTAAACAGAGCCAATGACACATGTAAAAACAGGTTTTTCTCTTCGTAATTCACTGTGCTCTGACAACTCTGATGAAGATGCTCTGATTAGCTCCAAACTACTGTACGCTGCTTTCATTCACAACGTGCCTGTCTCTCAACTAAATATGACCATCAGCTGATCATCTGTTACAAAGTGTTTTCCTTTGAAGATGTGATTTGATCTTGTTAAATCAAGAGCACACATATAAATACTTAATTGGCAGCTCTAGGCCTGTCACGATAACACATTTTGAAGTGTGATATATTGTTGAAATAAATATAGACAATAAACGATATTATTGAAACCAAACCATAAAAAGAAAAAAATTAATCTAAATGTACAATATGCTTGAAACATATGAGCTGCAGTGAATACATAACAGAATAAGACTTGCGTAGTGACTTTTTGTCTATAATAAGTCTTAGAAGGGATTTATTCAAACGTCTAAAGTTATCAGAGTACAGAAAAAAATCCCCCATGCACAAAGAAAAAGAATCACATTAAATATTTACCCTGAAAATTATTATTCTATCTGTCATGTATTGAACAAAAAGTGGATGTAGTAATTATGGTGACAGGCCTGGGCAGCTCTACACTTCTCTAATATAGCACCTTGTCACTGTTGAACTAGATCATCTTCAACATTTATTTACTTTTCTTTTGATCATTTCTATAACAACACCTTATATTTGATACAAGATTTCTTACTGACAAAATGCATAGCCCACTCACATGGCTTTTTAATTTCTTAAAAAAAGCTTTCGTCAGATAATTGTTCTAGCTTTGGACCATTGTATGTGTATATATATATATATATACACACACACACACACACACACATATATAAAAGCAAGAAAAATCTGACTAAAGTACTGAGTGTGCTTTGCATTTTTTCACTTTTAAATTGCTGTTCGTTGCATTTGCACCTCTACAAGAACTTTGGCGTGCATTTTAATTTGACAAGATCTAGCATTCTGTTCCTACTTGAAAGAGGGAAAGCAGCACATTCTACTGTTTGAAAACAACTTAACTTCACAGTTTTATTCATTAAATTCATTACAGGTCTGTTTAGTTCAGTCCACCTCCAGGCTCCAGAGGAGGGGTGCCCTGGCGGCTCGTGCAACCCCCAGATCGGTGACCTGATGGTGGGTCGGGCTGCGCAGCTCTCAGCCTCTTCCACCTGCGGTCTGGAAGGGCCTCAGAACTACTGCATCATCGGCTATCTGGAGGTGAGACGTGGTGCTGTAAGATTTGGTTTAGTCTTACACAGTGGAATAGATTTCTATTCCATAATTACCTCCGCCAAGGAGGTTATGTTTTTGCCGGCGTTTGTCTGTTTGTTTGTTTGTTTGTTTGTTTGTTTGTCTGTTAGCAACATAACTCAAAAATTATGGACCGATTTTGATGAAATTTTCAGGATTTGTTGGAAATATGAAAAGGAAGAATTGTTTTCATTTTGGGGGTGATTTGGAAGAAATCCTGCATTCTGGATCACTTTGAAATTTTAGTTAACATTGTGGTAAATGGGGCCAAAAATTTTGTTTCTCAATTTCTCGGTTAATTATTGACCAAACCCCATGAAATTTGACTCAGGGATGGACAATGGGATCCTCTTTCATATTCCAAAGGCTGATCCGGATCTGATCCAGAAGACTGATTTTATCGCAATTTATATAAAAAATGGGGGTAGTCCTTGGCGGAGGTCTGCGCTCTCTGAGTGCTTTTCTAGTTTCAAATTGGTCAAGCTGAAAACAGGTCAGAATTCTATGATAGAATTTGCTGTTTAGCTGTCAGATTGCAGTTGTTTTAACCTGGTTTATGGTTAATATCTCTGTAACCTAAAGATGTGATTGTTATCAGTTGAAAGGACCTTAAGTCTTAAGATAAATATTAGGGATGCACTGATCCACTGATATCATGTATAGAATTGTTATTTGTTAGTATTTATATCAAATAACTTACACTACTCTTACTTGAGCACAACTTTGCCCCCATTTCTCTTGGTCTATATTCACTGTCTTGCATCTAGATGCTAGTGATAGTGTGTGATTTTTGGTGTTTGCTTTGCGGTGATTTTGGCCCATTGTCTGTGAGTGTGAAGGATTTCTGGCCCGGCATACACTTTTCATACTAAAACATGTCCTGATCTGTCACTTGTGTTTGCTATACCCTGAGGAAGCAGCTTTCTTACTGCATTTTTCTTTCCTCATCTATCTTTTTCCCTTTTGGCACTGTACTTTTAGATCACTAAGAGTTTCCATGAGTTTAGGGTTTTAGGTGCCGCCTCTGTCACTCTAAATCCAGAGCCATAAAGTAAAATGACAGTTGCAAGGTCCAATCATACTCTTGTCAACTATAGAGTTTTTTTTAGTTTTTATTAAAAGTGCAATATGTCAGATTTATCATGGTTGTGAGCCAGGTCCTCCACCTGCTTCTCTCTATGTAGGTGTTATTGCCCGAATGTCCCAAAGTATGGCATTAAACTTTTTTGCATTTATTTTGTTAAGGGTGTTACATGTATTTTTAGTGTAAGCGCCAATCCACAGATCTGAGATAGATAAGTTTAATGACTTACTGTAGTTTAATGACTTGATGTGGAATATTCTAGGCAAAGCAAGTACATCTCCACAGAGACAAGCAGGAGGCAGACCCTGAACTTGAAAGTGAGACTAAAATGATCATTCAAAATGATTCATAGTTCTGTGTAACACTGAAGCATGTTGCCAGTTTGTGAATGTTGTTCGCTGTAATGACATGTAAAGATTAAACAATGAGGAGTAGTGCGTTACACTGTTTTAATGCACTAGTGTGGAGTCGAGAACACCACAACATAAACTCAGATGTTTAATCCTTTTACACCCGGTCCCACCAACTGAAAATATTTCACTTTTGAATCTGACAGTTTTTTGGCTGGCCATGGATCAAAGCTTAATAATGCTTTGATCCATGGTTATTTCTGTTGAAGTTGAAGCTAGTCCTTCCTAGGTATAGTTCATTTGTTTACCTATTGCTATAGTGATGATCACAGCGTAGTGATGTAGAACAGTGATTAACTGTTCTGAGCAGTGACTGCCTGAGCAGTTACACAAAAATAATGCACGGCCGTGAGCATTTGAATTCTCACTGACCAATAAAAACTATTCTAGTGCCCACACTATTCACTACTTAGGGCACTATCCACTGGTCACACCATTTTTATGGGTGTCCAAATGACCAGTTGGTGAAAAAGTAGTGCACTCAAAATGTCCCACAATGCACCTTGAAAAGTAGTGTGCATCGGAGGTCACTCAACCGCCCATTATAGACCACAATGCATTGCGAGCGTCGGGAAAACAACGGCATACAGCAACAGGTGTTTAACTGGACACAACCCGACTGAATGAAGCAGATAAAAGCTCTGGTTTATGGCTATGATCCTGAGTATGAACAAAACACTCTAACACACACTAAATAAACCATTATGGTGTCAGCGGTGCTAGTGTTATCCACTTACCTTAGCTCCAGCTGTTAAAAGAGCAGTAATTTCTACATTTCAGACATAAAGCTGAATCCAGTCTGTTTACGTGAAATTCAGCATGACAGAAACTTGTGATGATTATTGTTAGCCCAAAAACACATGTGTGCCAGTCTGAAATGATCATTATTTATGACAGAAATCAAGTTTTATTGGGGTTTAGCGGACATCCAGAGTCACATGACCCTAATGTAGCGAGCTGCTTGTCCGAATCTCTCTGAGAATGACTGCATTATCTAGAGCTCTAATGAGTGCAGGCCTATGTAGTGAATGAGGGGTTCGGGACTTCGGGACCTTAGAGAAGAAAGAAACAAACTTTCTCTGACTGCTTATCATCTGACTATACATTAAAAACAAACATCAAAATTACAGCGTCCATGAGAGACACACTGATATACAACGAACTGCTCTCACATTTATTCATATGGGACATTTGGACACTCCAGTTTACCTGTACATGTGTTTAGAGAAGAGAATCCACTTTTTATCACTCTGAAATGGTTGAAAATGACTACTCTGTTTTTGTTTTCAGGAGGAACAGAAATGCTTTTTGTGTGACTCCCAGCGGCCGTTTGATGCTCACTTCAACCCAAACAGTCACCGAATCGAAAACGTCATCACCACCTTTGAGCCCGAGCGCAAGATGAAGTGGTGGCAATCAGAGAACGGTGAATTTGTGTTGTGTTAAATTAATGGAAGAAAGTCAATTGTGGCTCTCCTATTGATTCTTTGCAACTGATGCCAGACAGACAGATACTTTTTTGACCCCAAGAAAATTCAAGTTTTGCTGCAACCAACTGTTGCTGCTCTTCTCAGTCAAAGGTCTCAGTGCAGTTTCACAGGAGGACTGGCCAGGTAGGGTCAGCAGATCTGTGTCAGGGCAGTTTGAGGAGAGGAAGAGCCAAAAGTGTCCCTCCTCTATGTCCTGCAGAATCACATCAGTGTCCAGGGGGAGACAGGTGAACACAACAGCCAAAACACTCCATCCTGCTGTTTGGCTGGTGATGAAATGGTCAAGTCCCTTAAATACATGTAAAAGAGATACACTGCAAAGTATATATGTGCAAGTCACTGGCACATGCCCATGCTTTTCACTGCATGTTGCTCTATAAAATGTCACAGTTTTAATTTACTGCTAATATACATGAATGACATTGAAATGACCTGATCCCTGGTTGCTTTTAGGAGTTCATGAGGTCAGTATCCGTTTGGACCTGGAGACCATTTTTCAGTTCAGCCATCTTGTTCTCACCTTCAAGGTAAGAAATACTCTTTGAGGTGCCCAAACTGTAAAACTCAGGACTAGGCACAATCAAAAAATACCTCTGTAGTCCTGAGCAAAACACCATTGTTGATGATTTCTTGGTATAAAATATATTGTAATTTAAAGGTCCTATATTACACAAATTGTGAGCTTTTAGCCGTGTAATAATGCTGTTACCTCATCAAAAACAGACCTGGAGTTGTGTTTTGTTTCATTCACACATGTTTGAGTAACCCTTTACTATTAGTCTCTCTGCATCGCCAACACTCAGAATGTTCTGTTCCACCTTGTGATATCATGTGATGGATGTTTTCAAGTTAACAGCTACTGTTACTTTTAGTTCAGTAGAGATTGACATTTTCAGAAGAACACAGCTTAAATATGCATTGTGGATTGTGTGTTAGACATGTAGGAATGAAACAAAACACAACTCCACGTTTGTTTGTGGTGAGAAAACTACAGATCAGAAAACAGTGAAATATGGATGTTACTGATTAATTGTTATTGTGTAAATGTAAAATGGGTCGTGGTCAGCAGGTTACTCTTGAAAATGTGACATTAATTCTCAGGGGGCTGACCTGTAATTAAAAAAATCTGATCAAAAACTGATAAAGACAATAGCATACTGTTTTATACATGGTCAGGCCCTAACACTGTATTCACTTTGCACTCCCTCATCCAAATGCATTACAAATATACTAGTGCTAATTTCTATTTTATGTATTTATTTTTGTTTTATCATTTAATATTAGTATGCTATTAAGTATGCTTTCCAGTTAAAGGTATATAATGAAATATTATCTGTCACCAGAATCCAGTGCCAGTGTGTAAAGTTTAGCTTAAGTGATGCTGAAGTCATTTTGAGTCCATGGTCTAAATAAAGTTAACCTCCTCTGCTCTTGTGTTCTTCTGCAGAGCTTTCGTCCAGCGGCCATGTTGGTGGAGAGATCCCAGGATTTCGGTCGCTCGTGGAAAGTGTTTCGTTATTTTTCAGAGGATTGTTCGGTTCATTTCCCTCAGGTTCCCAAACAGACTCCGGACAGTGTGGATGATGTAGTGTGTGACGGCAGATACTCCGGCTCTGAGCCCTCCACTGAAGGAGAGGTGAGTTTTGATTATTAGACTAGAGGCATTTTAAAAGTCTTGCATTATTTGGCCTTCATGAGCTCTGTTTGCCATGGTGGATAAACTCGCAATAATCTGGATATGTCTGCAATTGTGTTTAGACGAGCTAGGTGTCAGTGTATACGAAACCTCTGTAGCCTCATTTTTATGAAAACAAAATTATAGTTATAAAATATTTAGCGTGACAATGCTAATGTATTTGTAGGATTTGTATTTTTTGAAAAACTAATTCAGAGTGCCTTACAGGGAAATCAGTGAACATTCAATAACATACAGTATAATAATGATTCGTCAGATATTTCATTCCCAATCATCTTTCTTTGAAATGGTCTCTGTCGTGCAGGTGGTGCTGAAGGCCCTGGATCCTATATTTGAGATTGAAGACCCCTACGCTCCACATATCCAAGGTGAGTTTGCCCAGAGAACCAAGTGATCTGATTGGTGGAAGAGTTCTGCCTGTTTAGCACACTGCCTTTGTCTTTAGCACAAACGCCCCACATGACCTCTCACCTTTGACCTCTAGCACTTTTCTAAATGATGTTTTGCTTTCTGTTGAGTTTTGTTTCCTGGATGCTCTGCATGCGTCATTGTGTCAGTCCTGTCACAATTGGAGAGCTTATTTTAGAAGCTGTTTTGTCTTAAAAAGGCACACAAGGTCAAACACTGACTGGACATTTTTGACATTTCAAAAATAGCAGCTGTAGTACTGTTTTTTAACTTTTTTTTTTTTAATCACATTATTTTTATTGGATATGATAAATTTATAAACATAGAAATAATAATTATTATGAAAGGAAATAAAAACAGGAACAGCCTAGGTGAAACTTGAATAGTCTGCTTTTGCATAAATAATGTCCATTTTTCCCATTTCTTCTTCATTTGTGCCCCTTGCAATCTCAGTCTATGAGTTATTTTTTTCATTAGATAGATGTCTTTTATTGTAGATGTCCAGTGTTCCTTTGAAGGCACAGAAGTTGTGCCGCAGTTCCTGGTTATTGATTTTTTGGCAGCTAATGGCATCACTTTGAAAAGTTATATAGTGGTTTGGTGAATAATGTTTTCTGAGAAGTTGTAGAGATAGACCAGTTCAGGTGACAAGAGGACAGAATATCCCAGCACCTGCCCAGGTACCACACAAACCATTTCCCAAAATACAGTAATATTTGCACATTTCCAAAATATATGAGAATGGTCCACATTAAACAGTTTTTTTAACTTTTACGTTACTATTGCTCTTCCTCCTCCTATACATTTAATATCCTCTGCACCATATACTCATTGTCCCTCCTCTGCACCATATACTCACTGTCCCTTCTCTATACATGTCTAAACAATCTGGAAACCTTTACCTACCTATACTATACCTGTAGTATGACCTGTGGAATTTTTCCTAATTCTGTCCATTCTTTTCTCTAGAGTTAATCACAATGACAAACTTGAGGATAAATTTCACTCGCCTCTTCACGCTTGGAGACACTCTTTTGGGCCGAAAGCGCAGAAATCCTCAGAATAAATATTACTACGCTCTGTACGATATGGTGGTGAGGGGCAGCTGCTTCTGTAACGGGCACGCCTCTCAGTGCACACCAGCAGGGGGCAGAGGAGACGTCTTCACCGAGCCAAGGATGGTATGGACCAGAACACACTTTAATCTATGAAGAAGTTCCACAACTGTTACAGTATTGAACTTCAGCTTCAAGAGATCATCATGGATAAAGAGCTTTTTTTCTGGAACATTCTGATGAAACAATGGTCATTATCTTTGTTGGCGATTAGCATGATTCTATAAACTGTCCCACAGATGATTACTGTGTAGCATTATTATCACGATAAACCAAGTAATTGCTTATTGTCCCATCCTCAGGCACAGAATGGCAGTCAGTTTGGCCACAGATGTTAAAGCTTCACCATGTAACTTTTTAGCCAAAAAAGTAAACTGCCATAAAATGCACTTTGGAAAGTGCAGTGTCTATTCCAGTGGCTCTCTCATGTCCCTGGGCCATGTGTTGGGGGTCACGATGAATCATGACTTACTGCTATAACAATAAAATGATTGAGTGTGAGAAATAAATCATCATCCAAATTAGGTCAGAAACATGCTTAAACTTGTCAATTTTATAGCGATGCCATTGTGGAGGACGATAGTGGGTCCTTAGGATATTTTCAGAACGATAAGATCCCTGTTCTCAAAAAGAGAACGCCTGGTCTAGTCTACAGAAATCCTCATCAGTGACTTTTTTAATCTGTTCATAATGTTGAGATTTTTTTGATCAGGTCCATGGTCAGTGTGTCTGTCAGCACAACACCGCTGGGCACAACTGTGAGCGGTGTCAGGACTTTCACCATGACTCCCCCTGGAGGCCGGGAGGAGAAGACAACGCTAATATTTGCAGAAGTAAAAACCTTATTCCACCTTTACAAAAATACTGTTGTTCATGATTTGTGTGCTCATAACGTGTGTTCATGTTGATAGGATGTAACTGTCATGGGCACTCAGACTCCTGCCACTTCGATGTGTCTCGCTTTGAAGCGAGTGGAGAAGTGAGCGGTGGAGTGTGTGAAAACTGCAGAAACAACCGAGAGGGAGATCAGTGCGAACGCTGCCGACCTTTCACCTTTCAGGATCCTCAGAGAGCCCTAGACGACCCCAACGCCTGCATACGTATGATACTTATACACATGCACTCACTGGCAAATAAAATACAAAAACATTGCAACATAGCAGATTTGTTAGATTTGTTGTTTAGAAAAGGAGGCCTCATCCAGCACACTGCAGAGATGGGCAGAGTTCAGAGTATAAAAACAAGACATAGACCTAGTAATAAATGCAGAAGGTTTAGTAGTTGAGTTCAGTTACAGTATTGTCAGCTTTGATTAGTTAAAAAATGTAAAAAAAAAACTGCACACATTAGTTAATGTTTTAAGCATAGTAGTTGAAAGATTTGAGATTCATTTTTTATTGTAATTATTATACCGGCACTGATCCAGGAAATTTGTCTGGATCGGGTATCGGCCCATGATATCGCCTGATCATATATCCTGGTTGAGACTAATATTTACTGACTGATGTAGGTCTGTGACTTCTTAAAAGTTTAAACTTTTATTTGTAAAGAGTTGTTACATAACTACTTGAAGAATAAATAACAATTACATACCACAATTGGATATATTTTGTAATAAGATTTTTTTGGGGTCCTTATACTGATATCAGTTAATATCGGGTACTGGCAGATACTTAAAACCAACGTATCAATATCAATAAAAATAAAATGAAAATGCATCCTAGTGATAATGTAAAGTACAATACAAAAGTACAAGACTCCATCCAATAAGCCCCATAAAGACACAGTGTAAACATCAGGACAATAACATGCAGGTATGATTAACAGTCTTAGCTACAGCATGAAGGGTGAATCATTTCTCTATAAAAATCAGAATATGAATCTATTCACTTTATTGAGTTCACCATATCTGTGTGTTTGTCTCTGTTGTAGCGTGTGACTGCTCCCCTCTGGGCTCGGAGTCGGGGGGTCTGTGTGATGGGCAGACAGGGCAGTGTCTGTGTAAACCCAATGTGGAGGGACAAGGCTGTGACCGCTGTAAACCCGGCCACTACGGACTGAGACAGGACGACCCCCTGGGCTGCCAACGTGAGACCACTACCCACGAGCAGACAGGGGCAGACAGGAGCAGACAGGAGCAGACAGGAGCAATGACACAGAGCACTAACCACATACTGGAGTGCAGTGGTTGAGTTTCAAGTATTGCACATTTTAATCATTTTTTTCTTAGACAAGTGTTACAGACAGAATACTCAATATTCTAATCTTGCAAAATGTTTCTATTTTCCAGTCTCTAGAATAGACTAGAATAGACAATTTCAGTTTTTCTATTTACAGAGTCTACTGGGATGATGTTTACAGTGACATCAGCTCCCACTGGATGCACAAAAGTCAGGGAGTCATTTCTTTTATTAAATTGTTTTAGATCAATATAATATATTTATTAAATACAAATATAATATATTTATATTTATTTATTTATATATATATAATATATAATAATTCTAATATAATGATCCACAGGTGTCATAGATAGATGATGTGTTTTTAACCACTGCCTTGATCAAACTTGTTTCTAATTGCCTCTTAACACTAAACCTCATTGCTCCTGTTTTTTCCCCACACTGAATATCCCACTACCTCTGTAATCATATAGTGTGTGTATGTGTGTGTGTGTGTATTTGTATCTAAACTGTCCCTGGTCTGTTGTAGCGTGCAGTTGTCACCCTCTGGGCAGTGTTGGTCCCTGTGACGTTCAAACTGGAATCTGCCAGTGTGAAGTTCTGGCTGTGGGATCCTCCTGTGACCGCTGTGCGGTGAGGCTTTACTGACCTCTAGTGGTGGCAGATCCAAGCTTAGGTTAACTGAAATCATCTTTAAAGGTCTTATATTACATCAAATTGGCTCTTGTGAACTTTTAGCTATGTTAGAATGCTGTTATGTCAAAAACATACTTGGATTTGTGTTTTAATCCTGGTTTATTAATCTGTCCACATCTCTAAAGCTCAAAATGCACAGTTTCACCTTGTGATGTCATGTAGGGGTACTTTTCAAATTAACAGCTACCTTTTACCTTTAGTTCAGTAGAGACTGCTGATTCCAAGGCTGAAATCATTGAATTATTCTACTGAAGGGGTATGGAGTTTAAAAACACACTGGAGCCTTTCCTGTATTACCACATGACAGCACAATATGGAACAGTGTGTTGAGAGAAGAACTCTAAATCTGCAGGGTTTGTGTGTTAAACATGTGTGGATGAAACAAAACAACTCCAGGTCTGTTAGTGATGAGGAAACTACATTAGAACATAGATAAGAAAATGAGTGAAGTAATTTTAGAAACTTCACATTCTCTGTATCTCAAACTATGTCATTTTACATAGCTCAAAAATAAATAGGCTGACTTGAATAGTACATGGAAAGTTTGATTGTGTTGTGTCATAAAGGGTGTGTGTGATGTTTGCAGCCGGGGCACTATGGTTTGGTGAATGGTATTAGATGTGCTCCTTGTGACTGTGACATCGGAGGAGCTCACAGCAATATGTACGTAAAACTGTTTCACTTTGCCAGTCATGATGTCTATAGTTGGGAATGAGTTGTTAATGAACACAATTAACATTAACCACGATTTAGTCTAAAAAAAAAAAATTTAAAGGTCCCATATTATGGAAAATGAACTTTAAACTTTTGTCATATTAAAGTTTTGTATACTGTCCTAAAAACTTGAAAAACAGAAGTAGTTTATTTTAAAATTATTCCTCTCTTTCTTAACACATTCTAATTCATTTGTAGAAGTTTCATGATGACTAAAGCCAGTGAAGACATTTCTTTATTGATACATTGCAGCTGATGTCGTGAATGTTCCCTGGGGGTGTGAAGCTAAGTGGCGGCTCCACTCTGTCTGAAGCTTTGTTAGACTTTATTCTAAGATTTATTTTAACACAATCTGAACAGAAAGAACTGATTTAGCTGGAACTACAATAGGTGAGCTGTTAAACAAGTCTCTCACACATAAAATACAATTACATTAGCCAACAGTTTTTAAGTTAATCTCTTTCACCTTTTCGTTGAAAATCAAACTCCTAAACAGGACCATGAAGTGTCGTATCCATTACAAGACCTGACACAGGACTTTTGTGACAGTGTTTGTTAATGTGTGCATTGTGTCGCCATAACTTCTGAACATTCCACTATACACATAAATGTAGGTCACACCCAGTGTGATGCCACTGCAAAGTATCACGAAATTAAATTATATTGCATTTTTATTATATAACACGTAATACCAATGCGTCCAAATAAAAAACAGGATTATGCATAGTATAGTACAGGGGTCTCCAACCTGTAGCTCAACCCCTTTCCAAGTTGCTCACCAAAGGATTTCTGAATCATTTTGTATCGTATTGTGCTGAATGACTCAAATTTGATGAACTACATTGTAAATATATCATTTTGATGCCTGACTCTGTGCATTAATAATGGTTTATGTTTTATAGGTATCTAACTGTTCCACATCTAAGGCTTTCCTATGCTCAAAATTAGTAGCTAGTTGGCTTCTTTTTTTTTGTGTAAAGTTAGCTCACCAGATGATAAAGGTTGGAGATCCCTGGTATGGGACCTTTATAAATAGTTAAAACAATAACACAAATCCTGACATGAAATAGAACTGTCTCTTCTCACTAACACTGATCCTGTGACCTCTCCCTTAGGTGTAACGGTGACACTGGGCAGTGCCAGTGTCTCCCAAACATGAACGGGCGCCGCTGCTCAGACCCTCGACCTGGGTACTTCCTGCCACAGCTAGACTACTTCCTATACGAGGCCGAACTCGCCGCTCCCCTTGAAACGAGACCACCTCCTCCACCCTATCCTCCAACCTATCCACCAACCTATCCTCCAGCCTATCCACCAACCTATCCTCCAGCCTATCCTCCAACCTATCCTCCAGCCTATCCTCCAACCTATCCTCCAGTCATTCCTCAAACCTATCCTCCAGCCTATCCTCAAACCTATCCTCCAGCCTATTATCCAACCTATCCTCCACCCTATTATCCAACCTATCCTCCACCATATCCTCCACCATATCCTCCACCCTCTCCGGTCCCTCCTTCTCCTATAGTAAGTACACAGGGTTAAAATGCTCAGTGTTTAACTATTTACTGTTTAATAGATGTTAACCCCATTTTATTTCCTTGTCTTTTATATTTGAACTGTGGTGTGGAGTACTATACATGTGTTGTTACATTTAAAAGACTCAAGGTTCAAGGAGTCTTGATTATCAACATTAATACAGACCACACACACACCCAAAACAACTTAGATAAACTATATTGGTCTTCAAGAGCTGTACAAAAACAAAACAAACAAAAAAAAGAGTATGGTTATGAATAGTTAATTTGGGATCTATTCAGACATTATTCCATAACAGTAACATTACACTTAAATCTGTGCTTTATTTTAACACAATCTGACTTAGATGGAACTACAACAGTTTACCACACTCACCGTATTTGTTGAAAATCAAATTAAACAGGACCATAAATGCTTGTATTGATCACAGACTCCTGAAAATATGTTGTTTATATCAATTTCAGACAATCTTAAAACTTTTTGACTGCTAATGTGTGCATTGTGCCACCATGCTAACTCCTAAGTATTCCACCATAAAGATAGAGATACATGAAGAACACCCCCAAACTGCAGATTATCTATTATCTGAAGATTATTTTGAGCATTTGCTAATATTCAGGATTTGTGCAGAAGTGAATACTGTTTAAAATACTGACACCAGCTTTGGTTGTGTTCTCAGCAAAGCCCCATCATCCTCCCCAAGTGTGAGCAGTATTACAGAGAGCAGGGTTACGACTTCAAGATTTCCAATGGACAAGTGGTTCTGGTTCGAAGGGCCAAACGAAATGCACGCCGCAGAAGACAGGTCGGTACAGTGTTTCTCATTTCACCATTATAATTCCGTGATATCTTCGTACTCTGGACAAGACTCTGATCTTCTTGTATGTGTTCATAGTATGGTAGGATTCCTCTGGAGCCTGGAAATGCTCTTCAGATCGTCCCCCGAGAGAGAGCCTCCGGTCAGCTCATCACCTGGACTGGGCTGGGTCTGGTCAGGGTTCAGACTGGAGCTGGACTCAGGTTCACTGTGGACAACCTGCCGCTGTCTATGGACTATCAGCTGGTGATCCGCTACGAGCCAGAGGTGAAAACAGTAACATCTCACTCCTATAAAACATGTCCTCTTTTGCTATATACATAAATGAGGGATGGGCTAGTATGGATTTTTGCAGCCAATACTGGTATCTGATTAGTTAAGTTTATCTTGCTATTGTGGCCACAAATCAATATTTCTGTTTTATTTTTCCCTTCAGTCTCCCTCTGATTGGTTGGCTTCTTTGAGCATCACCACTTTATCTCCTGGAGACCAAAAGTGTGAAACTGAATCCGTAAGAAGTGGAATATTAACGTTGACTGGAAACTCAAGGTATCACATGGACATTTAACAATAGAAATGAGAAATTTGTCAAAAAAATGCAGGTCTGAGAAAGAATATACCACACTGTAAAATCTAATAAGTAGACCTTACTTGAAAATATCTAGGAAACCGATTGCTTTGAAAAATCTGACTAAAGTGGAGTGTGAATCTAAAGCTGAGCTACAAGTAATTCCTCAGTGTAGTGTTCAGTGAATTCCTCTTTCATCTGACTAGGCAGAGCAAGTGAAGTGAACTTTAGTTTTCATTCATAGAACTCATGTTGTGAAGCTGTGCCAACGAATCAATCAATTCCTCAAATCTGAAATATGTAGTCACCTTTACTTTAACAGTAAGTTCTTCTTATTTGAACAAACCAATGAAACTGATGCCTTGAATTAAGCAAGTAAATGTTCCTTATATACACAAGTTAAAGTAAAAACAGGTTCTATTCTACAATGCCATTTAGATCTACATCAGGTACAAGGATTTGAATATTTATTAGTCTTTGGAAAAAACTTAGAACATTTTAGTTCAGCTTAAGTTCAAAACACATTGTAACATGTGTAACAATAAAATAACAGAGCTCAACCAAGACCCCGAACTTAGGGCACAAAAAATGCTGGAAGAAACGAAACAGGCAAACAGGTGTAATTGAGCAATTATACTGAATGAACAGAGGGAGGATATAGAGACATTCTGGGAGGATCAGGGAATGAGTCGCAGGTGTAGTAAAAACACGGAGGTAACAAAAGGAGGAGTGGAATGACTGGGAAATGGAGCTGGACTCTTGGCAATAATACTTCACTGTTGAAGTTATTTGTCTCATTCAAGTTGACCTTAGTCTAATTGACTAAGTAATGTGCTTTTTTCACCCTGAAAGTAACTGTTACCCCTAACCCTAACCACAATCATTACAATCCACAAATTCCAATTATAGTGCAAGATATGAGTAAAGAGCTTGGGATCAAGTATCAAAAAATTATTATTTATTATCATTAGCAAAATCTGCAATTTTTGCAAAAAAATATTAGCCACATGCTGAGTTGAGTTGAGCTTAAAAGTCCTGTGTTACACAAAATGGTTTCTTGTGAGCATTAAGAATGTTAGAATGTTGTTACCTCCTTAAAAGCATACCTGGAGATGTGTTTTGTTTTTTATTCACACATGTTTGAGTAACCCTTTAATATTATTAGTCTTTCTACATTTCCAAACCACAAATGCTCTGTTACACCTTGTGTTGTCATGTACTTTTCAAGTTAACAGCTCCTTTTACCTTTAGTTCAGTAGAGATACAAATTTCAAGGTCTGAAATTAACCAAATGATTCTAGTGAAGGTGTATGGAGTTTAAAAACACAGTGGAGCTCTTCTTGACATCACAGGGAGAACAGAGTGTTCAGAGTTTGTGGGTTGTGTGAATGAAACAAAACACAACTCCATGTATGTTGATGAGGAAACAACATTGTAACATTGGACCAAAAATAGCTGAATGGCTAACTAAAAATTCTTTGAGGTGTGGTGCACAAATATCTTTTAATTTACTTTTAATTTCTCTTGTACTTTCACAAATGCGCGACTGAATATGTGTACAATCATGAAAGTGTATACAGTAATACTAATAACATCTGTAATGTGATTCTATTTCAAGGGGCTCTGTGCTGGACTTCCCCGTCTGTCTGAACTCTGGAGGCCGATACTTCATTGATGTCACTTTCAACAAACATCCAGAATCGGACCCAAACTCCAGCTCTCACATCCTCATCGACTCTGTACGTCACACTCATATCTGCACACACGATGCAGGAAGGCAGCTGTTCATTCACACATCATTTTACAAGGGCCACTGTGCATGAAATCATATTATAATCATTTGCAATCACATTGTATTTATTCTTTACATTTGATGCATTACAAAAGGCAAAACTGAACTGCAAAGTTTAGTTTGTTAAAGAAATACCTTATCCTACTCAGCACAACAATGAAACACTCACCCTACACAAAATGGAAAAAAAAAAAAAAAAAAAAAGCTTTATATTACACTAATTTGACTCTTGTGAGCTTTAAGTAATGGTATTACCTCATCTAAAGCATACCTGTAGTTGTCTTTTGTTTCATTCACAAAAAAAAACACAGTGGAGCACTTTCTGTATTACCACATGGCATCACAAGGTGGAGTGTTTTCTGTTTGAGAGAAAAACTAAATATGCAAAATGTGTGAATGAATAGCAAAGGATAAATTCTATCGAATCAAAAAACTCAGGTAAAACAAAAAGACTTATTTTACTGGTGTGAGCTGAAATAGGAGCTGGGAAGGCGTCCAGTTGAGCAGGTAGGTATTGGGCTGGGGGTCTCGTGAAGCAGGTAGGTACTGAATGAGGGGGGTCCGGTGGAGCACGAGTCACAAGATGACCAGGTGAGCAGAGATGGGAGATCCAGGGAGCACAAGTATGGAAAACTACCAAACTGTCAGGGAGTGGAGGAAGAAGCAGGCTGATATAGGCAGGAGTGGATTGGAGATGGATCTTAGGTATGTGATGACAAAGAGGCTGCAGCTGGTGTTGTGAGGCGACTCCTCCCAGGCAGGTGAAACACAGAAGGGAGAAACTGGAGGATCGTGACATTTCGTCCAGTTGACTGAATTTAATTTATCCTTTGCTATGGATGGTGTGAATCAAACAAAACACAGCTCCAGGTACATTTATTGATGAGGAAACATTAAAACATAGATCAAGAAATAGCATTATATGGGCCCTTTATGATTCTGTAATTGTTTAATATGTAACCTGTCATAATTTACTCTATATCCATTCTGTCTTCAACTCTGTCATGTGTTGTGATTATCTCTTGTATTTGCAGTTGGGTTTGATCCCGAGTATCGAGGCGGTTCAGAACCTGTGTTCTCAGACTGACCTGGACTCCTTCAGAAAATTCCACTGCATCGGACTGGCCACTGAAGCTGGACCACACGACGCTCTCCCCGAAGTCTGTGAGGGGCTGGTCAAGAGCATGTCCGCACGCATCCACAAAGGGGCGATACGTAAGCACTGATGTTTCTACTGCAGTATTCACTGTGGAGATCATGAACAAGTCATTCAAGTCTTCAGCAGTTCTGTACAAAAAAAAATAAAATTCTGATACACAAAGATCCTGAGAAACGTTTATGTACTTTTTATTGTAACAACAGACATATTAGTAAGTACCAAAAGCTCAAGATTTGGAGATGAGTCCCTGTCCTACTGCTCCTCACTTGTTACCTGAGCGTTATTGAAGGATGATTTCAATACAGGGTTAATAATGTGCACTTTAACCTTACTTTTAACAGTACTAGTCAGCAGAGTAGTAGCAATAGTAATAGTAATAGTAGTTTTAAGGTAATAATGAAATAATGCAAATATTTTTCTTGTCTCTTTCAGCTTGTGGGTGCAATTCTGAAGGCTCGGTCGGACCCTACTGCAGTAAACTAGGTGGGGCTTGTGAGTGTGAACCGAACGTGATTGGCCGATGCTGCGATTCATGTGCTCCACAGACCTATGGCTTTGGACCTGAGGGCTGCAAACGTGAGTCATTTTAGACAACTTACACTTTGTAACAGTAGAAGTGCAGTTTGAGAATCATTAACAAATTGTAACAATGTAGGTAAGACAAAGATAATGAAAAAGACATTGGCCAATCAGAATTTTTCACAGAGGTCCCCCACTTAGAAAACTGCTCAAAAACTCACTTTGGGCTGTGAGTTGTAGGGCCCATATTACGCTATTTTCTGATCGATGTTATATATTGTAGTTTCATCATCACAAACAGACCTGGAGTTGTGTTTTGTTTCATTCAAACATGTTTAATACACAAAGCCTGCGTATTTAAGCTCAGTCATTCATCCCAGAGTTCACAGAGTCATTAAGTAAACAACAATTTTAAAAGTGCTTCAGTACATACAAAATTATGATATTATTGATGAATAAATTGAAGTTTTATGTTTTTTTTATGTGATAGCCTATAATGACATTCATACTGAATTAAATGTCTTCACAGACTTGGATAGTTTTTTTTGGCAAAGTCAAATAAACACAAAGTGGGTATTTGGGTATACAGTGAATTCACTTTTTTGTTCCTGCTGTAATAAGACATTCTAAACATGAGGCTCCACTGTCTCTACATCATTTAAATCCTCTGACTTTAAGTTCATGTTCTGAGGTACTTTTTTGCTGTTTACATAATTTCTTTGCTATTTAGCTCAGTGTAAACAAAAGATTACTTTTCCAATTGAAACCCATACAGAATCATGCTGTAAACATCATATATGAAAAATGGCTTTGTACATATACTTTTACACCAACATGTGTTCTTTTTATAATCATTTAAAATATAATTGTCTGAGCCTTTTAATAACGATAATAATGATTCCTTTTAATAATAGAGCACTTTTTGGGCTCTCAAACACACTTTTCACTGCAATGTTCTTATACTCCACATTCTGGTGGCAAGATACTGATGGAAGTGAGGCTCTCAAAACTGTGCCGTTGGTTTTTATACTGGTAAATGTGGGTGAAGTGTCTTGCCTAAGGACACAGACAGTATTTACCAGAGCCATTGCTGCCTCCACTGTGGAACCTGCAGTCACGGTGGTTTTCCGTCAATACTAACCAGGCCAGCCCTTTATTCTGTATTTCTGATCATATGTTTCATACTTCTGTTAATGCCCCTGCATATGTATCTAGACCTTACAATTTCCTCATCAAAAACTATGTTTACAAAAAAAAAATACTGTCTTCCACACCTAGACACTAATCCCAGACAGCCTCACCTAAACTAAACTGTAAGGCCTTTGGACATAATGAAACAATCTGATATTTTCCATAGTAAAGTGTTTGGATGAGCAGCTTTAGGACATATGTATCTGATACTGTACCTCTGCTGTTCTTACAAATACATGGAGTAAAAGTCAAATACTGTCTGCCAGTGTTCTCCAGGACTCCTGTAGCTCCACATACTCTCACCCAGTCACATCCACCTGGACCCTGAAGGGAGGGGCTAGGGCCAGCATTCCCCCAAGGCAAAATTAGATCCATTTCAAACATTCACCATATAAGATAAAAAAATAACTTAATTATTTACAAATTGTGTCAGAACACTAACTTGAAGTCAGAGGGTTCAGCAATTATATAGAAATTAGATTTTAAATGGTTAATACTCTGTATGAAGGCAAGTTGAAAAATAGTGCTTATAATGGAAGACAGTGGAAAATTACATGCATTTCCATTGTTGACCATATAAGGTAAAATTATATCATCCTCCAAAAAATATGTCAAAACACTAATTTGAAGCCAGAGGTTTTAGAAAATATCTAACCCTTAGATATTATGTGCTTTACACTTTGTACAATGTCAGATTGAAAAATAGTGATTATAATGGAAATCAGTTGATAATTTTTGTGCTCATGGGCCTAGAACGAATTAGAATAGCCTAAGATTGAAAAACTGATGGGACAATGTTAAAACACTCAAAGATGCATCACTCCGCCAAAATTGTGATGATGTCATGTGGTAACAGAAAATGCTCCACTAGGTGTTTAAATTCAGTACACTTTCACTATAATCATTTGGATAATTTCAACCCTGGAATTGCCAATCTCTACTGAACTAAAGGTAAAAGATAGCTGTCAACTTAAAAACTCTGACTTGATGGCATCACAAGGTGGAGCGTTTTGAGCTTTGGAGATGTAGACAAACTAATAATAAAGGGTTACTCAAACATGTGTGAATGAAACAAAAAAGCACACAACAAAACAACACAGCAGGTCTGCATTTGATGAGGAAATGACATAACATAGATCAGAAAATAGCGTAATATAGGACCTTTAAGGCTTATCGTATCCTATATCAAATGCTGTCTTAAACTCTTATATGTTGTACATGTTTTTTAATAAATGAGCTCACTGTGTGTGTTATTCCAGCGTGTGAGTGCGACCCTCGTGGCTCTGAGTCGGATCTCTGTGATCAGGTGAGGGGACAGTGCGCGTGTCGGCGGGAGGTGTCAGGGCGCCGCTGTGACCGCTGTCAGCCCGGATACTGGGGATTCCCACACTGCAGGGTCTGTGAATGCAACGCTCTGTCTGAGATCTGCGACCAAGAGACGGGATACTGCATTGACTGTAGGGAGCACTCTACCGGGCCGCACTGTGAAAGGTCTGGGCGCTATTTATAATTTAAACTTCAATTTGAAATGTTGTCTTTAGTGACTCCTAGTCCAGTTTGTCATTCGTGGGTTTCAGCTTCCTCACATTTGTAGTTGCGTTTGAGTATGAAAGAATAAGAACACACATCAATTTAACCCACTGACGCCGGATGCTGCGCAGCGCAGTGCTGAGTCCCCTGTCCGGATTGTCTGGCGATCAGCGTAACTGGTAAAGTCGGGGCCACACCTGGAAGCATGGGGGGCTTGTCCTCCTCTCGCTTCCATTCACTCCCATAGAGAGACGCAAAACTGCCGGAGCTGTATTGTCGCGTTAAACCTTCTTTATCGTGGCGTATTATTTCTCCATTGAAAAATAATCCAAATGTATCCCCCACATGTTCCCATCAAGACCTGGTTTGAAGTAACAAACGTTGCGCTTTACTGCAGTGCATGAACGCGCTCAAACACTTGATCTGTTCGCTGTTCCAGACACTCCTATAACAGGTGCCATATCGCTATGTCGTGTAACAAATAAACATGGTCAAACACAAAAATGCTGACAGTGACAATGAAAGTGAAGACACGGACAACATTTGTGTTTGACCATGTTCATTTGTTACACGATATAGCGATATGGCACCTGTTATAGGAGCGTCTGGAGCAGCGACTAGATCAAGTGTTTGAGTGCGTTCATGCTCTGGCAGTAAAGAGCAACGTTTGTTACTCCAAACCAGGTCTTGATGGGAACATGTTCGGGATGCATTTGGATTATTTTTCAATGGAGAAATAATACGCCACGATAAAGAAGGTTTAACGCGACAATACAGCTCCGGCAGTTTTGCGTCTCTCTATGGGAGTGAATGGAAGCGAGAGGAGGACACGCCCCCCATGCTTCCAGGTGTGGCCCCGACTTTACCAGTTATGCTGATCGCCAGACAATCCGGACAGGGGACTCAGCACTGCGCTGCGCAGCATCCGGCGTCAATGGGGTAAGACAGGTGCGTTTGAGGAGAGGGAGCAGCCCAGAACAAAGAGAACAATCCTGCACATTGTCTTACTTGCAAAATGTGAGATTTATTATATTATTTATATTTCTGCACTAGGCCTTCATCAGGCGTTGGTTTACCTGATGAAGCAAAGCAAGGAAACGTTGTATGTCCTAATAAATCTCACATTTTGCAAGTAAAACAGCAGGCAGGACTGTTCTCTATTAGGGATGTAACAATATCCAAGTTTCACGATACGATATCGTCACGGTATGAACCTCACGGTACAATATTTATTGCAATATCGTGGGAAAGCTCACGATATGGTGGGGAGGCTCACGATTAGGGATGTAACAATATCCAAATCTCTTGGTATGATATTTTCACAAAATACTATACTGTACAATCACTGTACAATATTTATTGTGATATTTTGTGGAGGCTAAACAGCTGAAACTCTTAATATGCTACTTTTTCCTCTTAAAATGCCTTAAATTAAGACTTAAAAGTGTTTAGAACTGTTATTTCTTCTTGTAGTCTACACTGAAATGAAGCAAAGGATCATGGTCTATGTAGTTCCCTCTTTCTTTGGCTATTGCTGCACCATAACTCTTCATTTAAGCAAAGAGACTTGTAATTCGATATATTGTGATGGTCCACGATATTATTGTGAGAACTTTGATGATATATAATATCACGATATTTCAGTTATTGTTACATCCCTATTTTATATGGTTACGTTGGAGTAAAAACACCTGCAGAACTTACAAGGCCTATATTATATTATTTTTTTATCTTAGTTATAATGTTTCCTCATCAAAAACATACCTGGAATTGTGTTTTGTTTCATTCACACAAACCCTGCTTATAGTTTTATAGGCTGAGTTCTTCTCTCACACGAAAAACACGCTGTTCCACCTTGTAATTTTCTACTGGGTTTTTAAACTCCATGCAGCTTCACTAGAATCATCATAATTTCAGCTCTGGAATTGCCAAGCTCTATTGAACTGAAGGTTCACTTGAAAACTACCACTTAATGAGACCACAAGGTGGAACAGACAACACTTTGATCTTTTGAGATGTAGATAGACCAGAATAAACCAGAATATCTCAACCGTGTGTGAATGAAGCAAAACACAACTCTGGTATGTTTAAGGAGGTAACATTATAACATGGCTTAACAAGAATCCATTGTGTAGTATAGGATCTTATAAAACCTAAATTGTGTATGAGACTGTAATTGTGTATACCTACACCATCTAGTTGTGCAGAGGGTTTCTATGGCAACCCGATCTCCAGAGTCCCCTGTGAGCCCTGTCTGTGCCCTGACCTGTTGGAGAGCCGACGGTTCTTTGCCTCGAGCTGTGAGCAGGACCCAGAGACTCAGAGGCTCAGCTGCAGGTGCCTAGAGGGCCACACCGGTGAGATGGTTCATACGTTTAATACAATACTGAATGTCAACTGTGGAGAGTGCTGTCTGCTAATACTAATGATGAGATTACACTTATGAGGATATTGGTAACCTTAATGTTTAAAGAATTCCTGACCCTAAGACCCAACTAACTCATCCACTGGAACTATTCACTAATTCTACAACTTTAATTAGTTATAATAAAGCATGGAGAAGACTTCATACTAAGCCATGTTAGAATGTTGTTACCTCCTCAAAAACATACCCAGAGTTGTGTTTTGTTTCATTCACACATGTTTGAGTAACCCATTATATCTCCAAAGCTCAAAATGCTCTGTTCCACCTTGTGATGTCATGCATTGGTAGTTTTCAAGTTAGCAGATACCTTTTATCTTAAGTTCAGTTAGAGATTGGCATTTCCAGGACTGAAATTATCCAAATGATTCTAGTGAAAGTGTACTGAGTTTAAAAACAAAGTGGAGGACTTCCTGTATTACTACATGACATCACAAGGTGAAATACTGAAAATAGCGTATTATGGGCCTTTTAAAAATGATTCAGGCTTAGTAACTTCTTAATTACATAATACCCTAACCTCTTTAATTAAGTTGGAGTCATTCTTAGTAAACTATATGTTCCTTATGAATTAAGTATTTCTTCATGCTTCAGTAAGGCTGTAAATAGTGTAGATTTTTGCTTAGACCTATAGAATTTGTGCTAGTACAAAAAAAAAAAAAATCCCATCTATTCCTGTGGCTTTATTCCTCCTGTGTGACAGGCCCTCAGTGCGAGCGCTGCAGCCCTGGATACTTCGGTGACCTGTTGTTGCCGGGGGCGCGGTGTGAAAAGTGTGACTGTAACAACAACGTCGACCCAAGTGACCAAGAGGCGTGTGATGGAGTGACCGGGGAGTGTCTGCGCTGCCTTCACAACACCGGGGGGCGCTACTGTGAGGAGTGCAAGCCCGGCTACTACGGCAGTGCTCAGGACCAAGACTGCAAAGGTGAGGAACATTACGGTGTCACCTGGGCTTTTACTGACCCCTGGTGAGCCGAAATATGTCAGAAAAATGATCTCAAACTGTTCTAGAACAGACTTTCCTGCTATGGAGACAGACATGGTTTTGTTCTATGAGGAAAATCAAAAAAGATTTGATTTTACCCATTTAAAGGAGACATATTATGCAAAATAGGTTAACCTCTTTATTTGAATACATTTATTTATTCCATGTTGGAGTAAAAATGTAATGTATTGCCTATTGAATTAATCTTTAAATTGTTTATTTATGCTAACATTACTTTTATATGGCAATGTGAATGTTAAACATGCAGAAAGGATCATTTGTAATACAGTACTACTGTTCAGCTTGCTTTTAAACTGTTAGATTCTTTCCTCATGAAAAACATACAGAGTTGTTATTTGTTTTAATCTTATATGTTTGTTTCATTAATCCATTCATACAAATCCATTTTCTCTGAGCCCTCAGAAATGCTCTGTTCACATTTTGCCCAGATGGTTGCATCACAGATAAAACTCTTGAATTATTCTGCACAGTTTTTGAGTATACAAACCACCAATAAACCGATTCTGTGCTCATATTGTGTTCACACACATCTGTCTATTAGCAGAGCATTCACATGGCCTGAGAGCTTCATTTGTCTCATTTGTGAGTGTCTTCTCTCAGAATGCTCGTGTGACCGCAGAGGGACCGAGGTGACCCTGTGCCCCATGCAGAGCCCCTGTTTCTGTGACATTCAGACAGGACAGTGCCCCTGCAGGTCAGGGGTGAGAGGTGCGCTGTGTGACGAGTGTGAAGACGGCTACTGGAACTTGGCTGCGGGCTGTGTGCCGTGCTCCTGCGACTCAGCAAACGCTCTCTCCAATGTCTGTGACAAGGTGAGGAGCTGTGGTCACTATTTATTTAATAGTATTTTAGTCAGAGGTGAGTAAAGCTCTAATGTTACTTCAAAATAATATTGTTTAAGTAAAAGTACAAAGTAGTGGTCCAAGAAATCACTCAAGTAAGAGTATGATAAAAATAAATCATTTCATTTCAGAAACCATTTCAGATTTTCAACTTTAACAATTGTAGAATCTTGGAAAGAGTAACCAAAACTTGAAGGAAAGGTACTTGCACACTGAACACTGATGTAAAAGTACTTGGACTAAGTATGTTGTTTGAAAACTTAAGTAAAAGTAAAAACTTAAGTAAAAGTGACTTAAGTAAATATTGCTACCCAGATCCGAATTAAACTAACTATTTCAGAAAAGAAGTTACCGGAAGAACTCTGCACATCTGATTAGGAAGACACTATCTGACAAAGATTTAGAGATGAGCAAAATATAAATTGTTAAAATTAGAATTTTGTCTATATGGTGGACATACAGTGGACAGTGTTGGGAAGGTGACTTTTAAAATGTATTCCCCTACAGATTACAGATTACACACCCCAAAATGTAGTTTGTAACGTAATCCATTAAATTACTTAAAGTGAGTAACGTAATCTGATTACTTTGGATTACTTGATATTGTCATGTTTTTTTAAACGACATGAATGTACCAACCACATCCTGAAAATTATTGTTTGTTGTCTTCAAATTGTCTGAGCCCAAGTCTCCATGAATAAGCAACTGTTTACTGTAGAGAAACAAAGACCACGATATTTTAACATAAGAGGTTTTGTCTGTTAAAAGACAGTAACAAGATAAGCCTTTCCTTAACCATATTAAAAAATATTATTGATAGAGAAATTATTTTTTATATGACCTGGTTAGTTCTGGTTTAGTTCTGGTTTAGTCGTGGTTTAGTCGTGGTTTAGTCCTAGTTTAGTCCTAGTTTAGACCTGGTTCAGTCCTGCTTTAGTCCTGGGTTAGTCCTGGTTTAGTCCTGATTTTAGACCCGGTTTAGTCCTGAGTTTAGACCGGGTTTAGTCCTAGTTTAGATGTGGTTCAGTCCTGCTTTAGTATTAAATTAGTAAGTCCTGCTTTAGTATTAAACCAGGTCTAAAATCAGGAGTAAACCAGGTCTAAAATCAGGACTAAACCAGGACTAACCCACGTCTAGACCAGGTCTTTAGTTCTGATTTAGTCGTGGTTTAGTTCTGGTTTTAGACCTGGTTTAGTCCTGAGTTTAGATCTGGTTCAGTCCGGGTTTAGTCCTAGTTTAGTCCTGGTTTAGTCCTGGTTTAGTCCTGGTGTTAGTTCTGGTTTAGGGGCGCACAGGAGGAAGCACGGTTTACACGAGAAAACACAATCCACACGCGGCGCACGAGACGGCGGTGTCCACGCTGTAACTACGGAAGGAGACGTGGTCCGCGGGTTCTCAGGTTGATGACGATGATGAAGGTGTGTGTGTGTGTTTGTGTGTGTTTGTGTGTGTTTGTGTGCGCGTCCACTCATGTGGCAGGTCACTATAGGACAGTAGTGCAGATACTATGAGTCTATGCAGGTTGTTTTCACCAGTGCCAGTAGCTCCGGTTTCTGTTTGGGTTTCCGGCAATGAGTGGAATTACTGAAATAAAAAAATAAATGAATGGGATGTAGCACAAAATGTGAAAACAGAAAAATACCGCCTTGTAATCCACTTATTTCAGCAAAGTAACTGTAATCCAATTACCTCTCATTGAAACAGTAACTGTAACGGAATACAGTTACTCATAATTTGTACTCTGATTACGTAACAGCGGTACATGTAATCTGTTACTCCCCAACACTGATAGTGGATGAAATGTAGAAAGAACAATAATCTTCCAGTTGTCTGACCATCTTTCTCTCTCACTCTGAGCTCGTAAATGAAGCCTGTCCCTGTGGTATTTGCAGGTGACCGGTCAGTGTCCCTGTCTGCTGGAGTACGGAGGGAGGAAGTGTGACGAATGTGGAGAAAATCACTTTGGAAACCCAGACCTGCAGTGTGTCTGTGAGTGCTACTTTATTACACATATGAATAATAAAAACACCTCATTCTCAGGTGTAGTTATGGTATTATTGGTTTATTATTGATTTATTGGTTTATTTAGACAGATAGAAAGAGAGAGTAAGTTTATTGATCCTGAATGAAATTTAAGAAAACATTTTACAATTTAAAGCAAGCAACAACATCCATGGAGACGCATTAGCCAAATAATTTTTAAGTCTAAACCCATAAACATCAGGATCACTATCACACTGCATTGTCAGCATATTTTTACAGTAATTATTAGAAAAATTACAGGTAATTTTATGCTATTTTGTAGTCAGTAATTGATGTTATTAGTGAAGTATGTCTGTGCTTTCTCTGTATGGCATTTGTTTGGGTTCTTTGTTAGACCAGTGTATTTAAGTGCATAGCATCCCTTAATTGGCCACTCATTATTTGTGCAACATGTAAATGATTCACCGTATCTGATACCTTTATCTTCTAGTATTTGTCATTTGTGAGGCAGGTTTTTTACCTCTTTTAAGTCACTAATCTTTTACTTGGTTCGTTTCTATCACATTTAGCTTTATTACCTTGTGGTAGCCAACGCCAACTCATTTTGGCAAAGCATGCTGCTGTACTATGCAGTTGCACCATTAATCCTACAGAGGGCGACAAGGACCACTTAACCAGGCTAATATCCTCTGTGTTTGTTTATATTAGGCCTGTCGTGATAATTACTATATGGACATATCATTCAGTATATGATGGGTAGAACAATATATTTTGAGGCTCAATATTTATTGTATGTACAATTTGTTTGTAAAGTGGGGAGATTTTTGCCATTTTGATACAAAAAGATTTAAGCTGTAGAGGGCTGAATAAATTGTTTATTCTGCTGTTTATTTGTTGCAGGTCAGGCTTTTTAATGATACTGTCTATTTAAAATGTGTTTATTGGCATTATCTTGCTTTGTCTTGGCTGCATAAAGTAGTTTTAATAAGTTATTGCAATATTTCTCTGTAGCGATATATCGTGATTGAAAATATGTTATCGTGACACCCCGAGTTTATATGTACAGTAACCAAGTTAATAGTGTGGCTATATTTGCTTCATGTATTGTATTTTAAATTGCAATGCTCATAGAGTTTTGTATCTCCTGTTCTTGTTTTAGGCCACACACCCCTTAATCACACTCATCTAAATCCACACATCCAAACATCCAAACTCACCTTGACCCTATAACTGCTCCAATATCTACAATAACGTTGCCTTGTCGTATCAGCCCTTTCTGTGCCCTCTCTGTGCCCACTCTCTAAGTGGAGCCCATCTGTCAGATACTCAGATGTGATTAGCCCACACCCACTCTATCGCAACTGGGCTGCACGAGAAGAGAAACAATACAATATTTGATCACTACATTTCGTATTGCAATAAGGCCTGTAACGATAACAAATTTTGCTGGACGATTAATTGACCAAGAAATTATTGCAATAAACAATAATATTGACATTTTGAGACCAATTTCAACTAATAATGGAATAAAAATGAAAATACACCCTTTCAAAGCTTTCTAAAGACCATTTAACACAGAAAGTGCAAAACAACCAAAAACAACAGGCCTAAATAAAATAGACTTGTTAAGATAAGAATAGCCTAATGTAGTCTGGCGTATGGTAAGGACTTGTTAACAAAAAATGCACTTGAAATAATAATAATACAATTAATTAACTGTAATAAAACTTCTCTCAAAAGTTATTTTAGTCATTGATTTCCAATGGAATATCGTGTCTCCTCTCTGTGTGGCTGTTGCTGTGAGCCTCGGCATTTTGGTCTTTAAGTGTTCGTATTAACCTGCGACACAGGATCCTAGTTCGCTCTGAGGGAGCCGCTGTCCTGTCTGGTGTCGTGTCGGTGTCTTGTGGGATTTCAGAGGATTCCATTTTCTTCCCGGGGCGGGGCTAGGTGTGTCGATGGGGTATGGGTGTATGGCGGCTGCTGGGGTTTGAGCCAGTTCTTGTCGTTGTTTGCGCACTCGCCTGCATTTGACACATGTGGCTGCTGAGACCATAGACTGTAAGTTTGAGATGTATCCCACTCACTAGTGTTGATTTGGGATTGTGACTTGTTTTGTTACACAGCGATGAACTGTTTTGGTGCGGCGCTGGCTGGCGTTGCAGCTTCATGTTAAGTGCACTACACATCTGTTGTGTTAATAAACAAATAATCCGTCTATGCTGACATGTTCATTCAAGCGTCATTACGCTAAGAAAACGAGAGGAGTCAGTAGAGAGCGATAGAAGCCTTTTGATATTCAGTCTCTTTGGTAGAGCGAGAGAGAGATGAGGAAAATAAACAAGCATGCAAATAGAAATTATCGTGGCTGGAAAAGTTATCGAGCTTGTTAAAAGTTATCATGCAATTAATTGATTCATTAATTATCGTCAAGCCTAGCGATAACATCATTATTGAGATTGCTTGCAATTTTTGTGATATATTGTGCCTAATCCCAGTATTAAATCCTTTTTTTAAATTTCAGCTTGTGAGTGTAACTTGGAGGGCACACTGCGTCCCTCGTGTAACCCTGAGACCGGAGAGTGTAACTGCCGTGAGGGCGTGACTGGTATTTTCTGTGATGAGTGCGCTCCGGGTCACGATTCCAACTTTCCCGAGTGCAGAGAGTGTCATGCCTGCGCCAGACACTGGAGGCACTATGTCTCGGACGTGGAGAAAGCCGCGCAGACTATGAGGACCTTCATCCCTCATCCTCCAAATGAGCTCCGTCCTGGAGCTCCGAGGCACCAGCAGCAGCTGCGGAGCCTCTTTCTGGATCTGGACAATCTGAGGAGAAATCTAACACGACCAGCTACTCCTCGTGCCAGCAAGATGGAGGCGCTGTTTCAGAACATTTTGTGAGTAGAAATTCACCTCGACATCACACTGGGGGTTTGCTACATGTTGTGTATGGCAGAATGTTCAGCAGTTACCATGGTGACACAATGCACACATTTGCAAACCAAAGCCAAAAAGTTTTAAGAACATCTGAAAATTCAAGAAGATATCAAATGGATTTAAAGAGCACCTTTTCAGGAGCCTGTGGTCAGTGTGAGAGTCCATGGTCCTGTTTAGGAGTTTGATTCTGAAGTGAAAAACTGTTGGCTAATGTGTTGGCTTCTATTTAGAGAATACTTATGAATAAAGTGTGTTATTGATGAAATTGTTTATTATTTTTTGACATTTATTATGTATTAATGACTGGTCATGATCAGTCTATTCATAGTTCATAGTAAACCTTAATTAATACCTTTATGCAAATTTCTAACCCTGTTGCCTGTTTTGACATTTTTAAGGCTGTAAAAATAAAGTAGAGCACTTTTAACTGTTGTATGTTTCCCTTTAGGAAGCTCAAAAACAGCATAGACCCAAACTGCATCCTGCTGGACCCGACTCCTCTTTTGAACGCTGAGATCGACAACATCAACACCCAGTTCAAGAACCTGCTGTCCCACCTGCGCAACAAAGTCGAGAATCCAGACGACGAAGACGATGAAGACGCAGAGGGTAAGCTACAATCTGTTACAACTGATACTTTACAGTAACACCATACTGGGTGGTACTGCATGTATGTCTATAGTGGAATGTCCATCAGTTACCATGGTGACAGAATGCTTTAGCAAATACAGCTGGATAAGTTTCTAGATTGTCTGAAAACTCCCATGTGTTTGAATAACTTTAAACGGCACATTTTCAGGAGCCTGTGAGGGCTTTCAGGGTTGGATTTTCAACAAAAAGGTGAAAGTGACAGCATAGATCATCTCACCTGTTGTAGTTTTTGTGAAGTCTGTTCTTTCTGGGCAGGTTGTGTTAAAACAAAGGTAAGATTAATGTCTATCTTGAGGAACAGAATGTCAGAAAGAGCAGTGCCTTTAGTTAGCTTCACCTTCCAGGGAATGTTGATGACATCAGCTGCAAAGTATCAATGTGAGCTCTCTCAGTGGTACTTCTTTCATGAGAGTTCCAGGTGCTGTAACCTTTTCACTCTACAGAAGGCGCTCTTGCCCTACTCAGTAATAGGTTTGGTAACAGCTAAAAGAAGCCCTTTGGATTTTACAGGACTTATAATCACAGAGATCTTTGTTTAGAAATCACTGATGTAAAATGCATTAAATACTGTAGATTGTGCAACTGGAGAAAAATGAACACGGAAGAGGGGAGGGGCCATGGGGGGAGGGGAGGGGGTGCTCTGAGTGAAAGACAGAAAGAGAGAGGAAAGACAACTTTGTGAAATAATTATTTTAAAGAACAAATTATTAATTTCACAACCTTGTATGTTTTACAGCTTTTAAAGAGCAAAATCAAATGTATTATTCTGCAGAATGAAAAGCTTACAGCACCTGGTATTCCCAGGCGGTCTCCCATCCAAGTACTAACCAGGCCCGACCCTGCTTAGCTTCCGAGATCAGACGAGATCGGGCGTGTTCAGGGTGGTATGGCCGTAAGCGAAGGTCACACTGCAGGGTATTGTATTTATATCTACTTTATACCAGTTGTTTACCTCGTTGGACATTTGTACACCGGGCTGAGATCAGGGATGGGACTCGTGTGCTTTTTGAGGACAAACAGATAAGGATTTTTTGTCAACATTTATGATTAAACACAAGCTTTCAACAGTCTCATAAAGCTTGAACAAATCATTCAGTATGATTCAGGATTAGAAATTACGTATTTAAGACAATTAAGACAAAAGAGAAACGACATTTGGCAAATACATATTTTAAAGAATTGTGTGTCACAACCAGGCTACTTGAGTGTTTGAGGCTTTTAACAAGTAAAACGTAAAACAGTTTTTCTATCTGTAAGTCTTTGAATGAAGCTTGATTTGACTCCAGACATGCACATTAAGGTGTAAGATTCTGGAGATGGAATGTCACTCGCATGATTTCATGGAAATGGGAAGTTAAAACAATACTTGAGAACATTCCCCATGTATATATACGTTTTATGCCATAATGTGGAATATTATAAACAAAGGAAGACCAACACCAAAACTAAACCGAGAGGACAAAGTGTTTCTCCAAATATTCATTACGGTTTAAGTTCATGATCTGAATAAAGATCTGTGACTGTATATAACTGTAAAGTAGATATAAATACAATACCCTGCAGTGTGTCTGTCGTTTACGGCCATACCACCCTGAACACGCCCGATCTCGTCTGATCTCGGAAGCTAAGCAGGGTCGGGCCTGGTTAGTACTTGGATGGGAGACCGCCTGGGAATACCAGGTGCTGTAAGCTTTTTCTCTTTTGCAGAGGGCTGAGTAATACTTTTGATTTTACTCTTTAAAAGCTGCTCATGACACAATTGTTAAAAAGATGCATTTGCCCAAAGTGTTTTTTCTCTCGTGTTCCTCTCCAGTATGTTTGACTTAGAGCATGGTCTCTCCTCCTCCTCCTCCCCTCGCCTCACGTGGCCCCTCCCCCTCCTCCTCTTCTGACGACTACAAACCACTTCAGCACTTCACCACTGGGGGAGGTGTTGGTAAGGCTTCAAAAGCACACAGCCTACGCTTTACTCCAGTGAAGTGAGAAAGACCAGTTGATCATATGATTTAGAATTAGATCAGAAAAATATAAAGCCAGTGGATTTTTATACAAAGACAGCAAAGCCCCCTCTGCAAAGGAGAAAAGCTTACAGCACCTGGTATTCCCAGGCGGTCTCCCATCCAAGTACTAACCAGGCCCGACCCTGCTTAGCTTCCGAGATCAGACGAGATCGGGCGTGTTCAGGGTGGTATGGCCGTAAACGACAGATACACTGCAGGGTATTGTATTTATATCTACTTTATATCAGTTTTATACCAGTTTTATACCAGTTCGAACAGTGTTTCTCAAACTTTTTTTCTGGGGATCCATATTTTAAAAGTAACAAACCTTCGTGAGCCAAGTCAATAGAAGTTACTCATAAATCCCAAAATAAAGGTGGATTTGAGCATTATTGAACATCGATGAGGATATTTTATTGTTGACTGAGTGATCGTGTTTCTCTGAACAATTGGTATTCCTCAAGTTTGAAACAATGAAAAACAGTAATTGAACCAGCAATCAGAGGGATCTGTAAGTATCCTGAAGTGCACTGACCTTTGCTGATTTATCACCCTTCTTTTTGGACAACCAAACAAGCATTTCTCAACTTTAGCTGCAGGAACACTCGCTCAGGGCAGGCAGAGAGGATTCACTGACTCACTAGCTCTCTCTTGTGACTGTATATTGCAGACCCACATGCAGATAGTGACAAGGCGACCCAAAAATAATCTCTTGTGACCCACCTTTTGGGAAACAGCGAGTTACAACCTCATGTGTCCCTCTTTGGGCTCTCGTACACTGGGCTGAGATCAGGACTGGAACTTGTGTCTGTGCTATTTGAGGAGAAACAGATACACTTTTCTGTAAACTTTAAATTTAGAGGAGTGAATTTGCAGTTTAGTTTTAACTTTGCTATTTCTTAATACAGCACAGTTTAGCACTAAGACTTATTATTTTATCCATATTAATGTAATGCTATGTTTTATTGATGCTCGTGGGTAAATTCGTCCTGTGCCTTTTATCTGAGGACTTCTGAAGGATTTTGCTTATTGTGCTTGTTTGAAGTTTAATGATTGGGTTTATTCGTAGACTTGAATATAGATATAAACAGAGTATCCATCAGTGTGTCTGTCGCTTACGGCCATACCACCCTGAACACGCCCGATCTCGTCTGATCTCGGAAGCTAAGCAGGGTCGGGCCTGGTTAGTACTTGGATGGGAGACCGCCTGGGAATACCAGGTGCTGTAAGCTTTTTATCTCTCTTTTGCAGAAGAGGTTCTCCTGTTTTGTCCTTTTTGTATTATTAAATGGCTCTGTCATTTTCCTTTTTTTTGTACAAAATATAAATTGGTAAATGTTTTGGGAATTATAACTCATGACATACTGGTCTTTCCCAGTGTTTTTCAGCTTTCTTAACTTGTTCAGCTGGAGTCAAGTGTGGGCTGCTGCTGCTTCTTAAGCCTTTTTCCAACACATCTTCTAGAGCAGCTCTAAATGCCTGTTATAAAAGTGTCAAACTCAGTGAAGTGTGGGTTAGTAGCGGTCAGAAGTGGGAGGGGCCACAGAGGCGAGGGGCCGCAGAGGCAAGGGGCCGCAGAGGCAAGGGGCCGCAGAGGCGAGGGCCATGCTCTGAGTGAGACAGAGTTGAACGGGAGACACGACCTTTGACAAATAAAAAGCCCCAATGCAAGTATTTTAAAGACTAAACGTCACACTACCAGGCTACCTGAGTGTTGAACAGCTTTTAAGGAGTCAAATAAAACATATTAAACTGTCCTCTGCAGAATGAAAAGCTTACAGCACCTGGTATTCCCAGGCGGTCTCCCATCCAAGTACTAACCAGGCCCGACCCTGCTTAGCTTCCGAGATCAGACGAGATCGGGCGTGTTCAGGGTGGTATGGCCGTAAGCGAAGGTCACACTGCAGGGTATTGTATTTATATCTACTTTATACCAATTATTTACCTCGTTGGACATTTGTACACCGGGCTGAGATCAGGGATGGGACTCGTGTGCTTTTTGAGGACAAACAGATAAGGATTTCTTGTCAACATTTATGATTAACCGCAAGCTTTCAACAGTCTCATAAAGCTTGAACAAATCATTCAGAAGGATTCAGGATTAGAAATTACTTCATTAAGACAATTAAGACAGACTGGAGAGGAACAGGAGAGAGAAACGACATTTGGCACGTACATATTTTAAAGAATTGTGTGTCACAACCAGGCTACTTGAGTGTTTGAGGCTTTTAACAAGTAAAAGGTAAAACAGTTTTTCTATCTGTAAGTCTTTGAATGAAGCTTGATTTGACTCCACACATGCACATTAAGGTGTAAGATTCTGGAGATGGAATGTCACTCTCATGATTTCATGGAAATGGGAAGTTAAAACAATACTTGAGAACATTCTCCATGGATATACACGTTTTATGGCATCATGTGGAATATTATAAACAAAGGAAGACCAACACCAGAACTAAACCGAGAGGACAAAGTGTTTCTCCAAATATTCATTACGGTTTAAGTTCATGATCTGAATAAAGATCTGTGACCGTATATAACTGTAAAGTAGATATAAATACAATACCCTGCAGTGTGTCTGTCGCTTACGGCCATACCACCCTGAACACGCCCGATCTCGTCTGATCTCGGAAGCTAAGCAGGGTCGGGCCTGGTTAGTACTTGGATGGGAGACCGCCTGGGAATACCAGGTGCTGTAAGCTTTTCATCTCTCTTTTGCAGAAGAGGTTCTCCTGTTTTGTCCTTTTTGTATTATTAAATGGCTCTGTCATTTTCCTTTTTTTTGCACAAAATATAAATTGGTAAATGTTTTGGGAATTATAACTCATATGACATACTGCTCTTTCCCAGTGTTTTTCAGCTTTCTTAACTTGTTCAGCTGGAGTCAAGTGTGGGCTGCTGCTGCTTCTTAAGCCTTTTTCCAACACATCTTCTAGAGCAGCTCTAAATGCCTGTTAT